CTGCTCAACCTCAGAGTCCAGTGATTGCTGTGCATCCTCTTGCAGCAAGTGGCTCTTGTTGTGCTCAAATAATTGCCTCCTCCGTGACAGTTGGCAGGGCAATGATAGGAGTAGCTTTGGATCAGGAGGCAGATTAGGGCGCTTTGGTACCTGTGGTAGATTGTGAGCTAGTCTGCAACTTGATGACAGAGAGAAGGAGGGAAATGAAGGTTTACTTAGCTGTGCCACAACTTTCCCCAAGTTGTCTTGCTCAGTGCCTAAAGAAAATGTGAAATGTTCCCTGCCTGCAGATGATGGACCATTTCCACCATCACCGCTTTGGCCTGTGGACACAGAGGTTGCTTGTCCCTTATAGCTGCACAGGAACTACTGCTTCTCCCTGTAGACTTGCCAGACATGATGATAATGTCGTGCTTTAGAGCACTAATGTGAGGGACTGCCGAGCGGCACCACTAGCACTCCACTGGTCAGGCGTGCCCAGAGCGCGGAGTCTAAGCCCCAGGGTACTTGTTCACCAGAGCCCCTGATGGTGGGGATGGACTTGGAGTACCCCGGGACCAGGTCGCCACTACTGAGCACACCTGTCAGTGGTAGGGGTGTTCGCCAGGGGCTCCAACCAGGGAGAGCCAGATGTGAGGAGGTCGGGTAACCCCGATGGGATGGATGGATGGCTGAGCAAGTGCGAAGTCAGGCAGGCCGAGTGGTAACGGAGAGGACGGTATGGTACAAGGGAGCGGGCAGAGAATCGTCGGGTCACATGCCAGGTCAGCAACAGTAGGTCAGAACTAATGAGGGGCATTCAGAAAGAGAGGTCAGGCAAAGCAAAGGTCTGGGCAGGAGAAATCAGCAGGTCAAAAGCAATCCGGGTCAATAACTTACTTAGGCACAGGTTCAGAATCACAGGATACAGGTAAGACCAGAAGGCACTGAAATGACAGCTCAGGGACATTTAAATATCCCGCCCTGCGCTGCCATTGGTGCCCAGCGGGCAGCCGCGGCTTCTACTGCGCATGCGCGAACTCGAACGCCGCGGCCGGCCCGGACCTAGTGCCCGTGTCCCTGCACAGGGCGGTGCACTGCGCCTGCGCCGGGACCATCGCGGCGGGGATCGAGGGGATCCCTGACAACTAATCAGAATCTCTGGTGCTCTTCTGCAAACAAAGGGCAGCTGTTGTTGTGAGACCAACAGATTCATGCTGCTGTTGCTGCTGCTGAACCCTGTATAGAATATCAGAAATGTGTCCTGAATGGAAGATATATGTCCCCTTTGTTTGGGTTGTGGTCCTTTTAAAGGGATGACTGGAAACAATGTGGAGTACTAGGGGATTCTCACCTGTGCAGAGTGAAGGGTTCGGGGGTGATTCAGCAGAGTTGGAAATCTAATTTACAGTTTTCTCAGGATTGTCAAATCCTGATATGAATCCCGGAATCAAAAATTGTTTGGGTGGGGAAAGAGCCCCCAACCCTGACTACCCTGTCCTGTAAGGATTCACCCACCTGTGAGAGAGGGCTGAAAAGGGCAGGAAGCAGTCAGGGGTTCTTGTGGTGTTGTGTGGAGCAGGACACACATGTGAGAGACGCTTGGTTACTGAGACACTGCTAAGCTATGGTGACCTTTTCTGTGGACCCCTGGAGCAGGTGAGCACTGGAAACCCTGTTAAGGGACAAGTATATACTGGCAGTGAGCTAAAAGTTTGCTTTGTTCTTAGGATTGATGGACTGTTTTGTTATTTTTTATGTTGTAGATATTTATAATTTTAATTTATCATTTGAAAATAAAGACTGCTTTACAAATTCGGCTAGCTGGTGATCCGGACTCCCAAACATATCATACCCCAAAATAAATAACTGACTCTAAGAAAATAAACAATGAAAAAAAAATCAAGCTTAAACACAAAAGAATGTAAAATAAAAATTGAACACGAAACACCCACCCAAAAACATTACAAGCAAAGTAAAAACAAACTGCTGTTAAAGAAAAGCAAAGAAGAATCTCAAAACGCATTAGAACCTGACTCTGACACATGCAAAAAAGAAAATTAGTCCTAAAGTAGTTCTGAAAACGACCTCTGGATCTTAGGAAGGAAGTGGCAATGAATGCAAATGGGCTTACACATCACTCTCTCTAGCCGCACAAAGTGCAATGCACTGTATAATATCAGTAGCAAATATACAGTTTTACTGTAAGGGGGGTCTTTATTACCGATGCAATGTAAGGAGGGACAGAACCAACAACCAGCAATGTAACGAGGACTGCTGACCACCAATATAAGGGTGCATTTTCACTGGCTACCAATGTATAAGGGGATTCACTAAAATCACTAAAAATACACTAAAATCATATTAGCGGACACAAACCCAACATATGTGGAAATGTTTATCTATATCTAATATAAACTGTGTGCTTAAAATATAATATCAATCATGTGAATAGTAACCAACAGAGATGGCCACAAACAACAATTGTGTTCCCAAAACAAACAATAAATACACAATAAACAAATATATATTGTTGCACCTTCCCTTTAAATGCTATTACACCTTCTACACATTGGGCAGATCAAAAAAGATATATATACAGTAAATGTCCTTTTTATCGTTCAACCACTATTGTGATAATCCAAATAAACAGTTCTTCCACCTTTTTAAGATTAAGTCTCCTTAATTTCCTTTATTGTACTCCTTAAATGTATGAAAATATCGGCCACCTTTTACCATTGTGCTCACCTCACTGGATGAACCTGTGTGATTTAGGTCTTAAAGCGCCTTTTTCCCTTTTTGGGACCCTTTAAATACAGTACATCCACTTCAACGTGCTGCATTGAATCAGGGATCCTTTACTGCCTGGAAGCAATTCCTGTATAATCCCATATGCGGTGATCTGGCCCTTTAAATAGCTTTCTTCTTCCCTCTAAATTGTGCAAAATAGAAGTATCCCATAGTGTAGCATATTTTTAAAATATTAAAATGTATTAATAAAATTGCACTTACATTAAAAATAAAACCGCAAGCTTTACATATGAAACAGCGCGGCTGTGGCTCCAGTGTCACTTCTGGTCTCGGCAAGTACTTACAACCAGCTCCACCTAGACGTCACGTTACGTGACTTCCTCAGTAGGATGTGGTCAGGGGTTGGATTTCTTTTATTTGTTAAAACTTTTTATATTACTTTTCACCACCCTCCTATTCACAAACTATATAGAATCATGAATAAATAAAATCCAATTAAATATACAGTGGGGATCGAAAGTTTGGGCACCCCAGCTAAAAATTTGTATTAATGTGCATAAAGAAGCCAAGGAAAGATGGAAAAATCTCCAAAAGGCATCAAATTACAGATTAGACATTCTTATAATATGTCGACAAAAGTTAGATTTTATTTCCATCATTTACACTTTCAAAATAACAGAAAACAAAAAAATGGCGTCTGCAAAAGTTTGGGCACCCTGCAGAGTTAATATCTTGTACTGCCCCCTTTGGCAAGTATCACAGCTTGTAAACGCTTTTTGTAGCCAGCCAAGAGTCTTTCAATTCTTGTTTGAGGTATCTTTGCCCATTCTTCCTTACAAAAGTCTTCCATTTCTTTGAGATTTCTGGGCTGTCTGTCACGCACTGCTCTTTTAAGGTCTATCCATAGATTTTCAATTATGTTGAGGTCAGGAGATTGTGAAGGCCATGGCAAAACCTTCAGTTTACGCCTCTTGATGTAATCCCCCGTGGATTTCGAGGTGTGTTTAGGATCATTATCCATTTGTAGAAGCCATCCTCTCTTTAACTTCAGCTTTTTCACAGATGGCATCAAGTTATAATCCAAAATTTGCTGAAATTTTATTGAATCCCTTTTTCCTTCTACTCGTGAGATGTTCCCTGTGCCACTGGCTGCAACACAACCCCAAAGCATGATTGATCCAACCCCATGCTTAACAGTTGGACAGAGGTTCTTTTCATTAAATTCTGTGCCCCTTCTTCTCCAAACGTACCTTTGCTCATTCCGGCCAAAAAGTTCAATTTTAACCTCATCGGTCCACAGAACTTGTTTCCAAAATGCATCAGGCTTGTCTATATGTTCATTTGCAAAGTTCAAACGATGATTTTTGTGGTGAGGACGTAGAAGAGGTTTTCTTCTGATGACTCTTCCATGAAGACCATATTTGTACAAGTATCTCTTTATAGTGGAATAGTGTACCACAACTCCAGTGTCTGCCAGATCTTTCTGGAGGGATCGTGCAGTCAAACGTGGGTTTTGAATTGTTTTTCTCACAATCCTGTGAGCTGTTCTGTCTGATATTTTTCTTGGTCTTCCAGATCTTGCTTTAACTTCCACTGTTCCTGGTGACTGCCATTTCTTAATTACATTTCGAACAGAGGATATTGACATCTGAAAACGTTTTGCTATCTTCTTATAGCCTTCTCCAGCTTTGTGAGCGTCAACTATTTTCAGTTTTCTAGACAACTGCTTAGAAGAACCCATGGTGCTGATTGTTGGGGCAAGGTCAGATGAGTCTGGGCATTTAAAACCTTTGAGATTGACATCACCTGGTCTTCCCAGACGATGATTGAGAACAATCCATGACACTGGCAGGTCTCAGCTTGGCAAAGGGGGCAGTGCATGCTATAAATTCTGCAGGGTACCCAAACTTTTGCAGACGCCATTTTTTTGTTTTCTGTTATTTTGAAAGTGTAAATGATGGAAATAAAATCTAACTTTTGTTGACATATTATAAGAATGTCTAAACTGTAATTTGATGCCTTTTGGAGATTTTTCCATCTTTCCTTGGCTTCTTTATGCACATTAATACAAATTTTTAGCTGGGGTGCCCAAACTTTCGATCCCCACTGTATATATATATTGTAACGGAAGCGTAGGCAGGACAGAGCACATGGAGAAGATGGGGAACACACAAAGCTTTATTGAAGCAACAAAATGACAGACACTCAATGGGGAAATGGCAGGGAGGGTGATGTGTGCGCAAACCAGGGACGATTCCAGGCACAGGGGGTCTTCGGCGACAGGCAGGCAATCTCCTCCTAGGCTTGGGGCCTCAGCCGAGCTCCCTCTATGATTGGACAGCGGATTGGAGACTCGGGCAACAGGCGGCAATCTAAACCTGGGCAGGGGCCTCGGGCAACAGGCGGCAATCTACCCCTGGGCAGGGGTCTCGAGCAACAGGTGGCAACCTACCACTGGGCAGGGGCCTCGGCAACAGGCGGCAATCTGCCCCTGGGCAGGGGTCTTGGGGACTCAACGGGACTCTAGCTGTGGAGTCTGGCCTCAGCACAGCTCCCACCCAGCTTTCTAGGAACATTGGGTTCACGGGGACTCAACGGGTAGCGATGGCTCAAGCACTCAGGGGCACCACAGGTAGCTATACTCCGGACACGCCATGGGGTGGTTCAAGTAAGGGTAGTCTAGGTGTGTAGTAGGGCAGTGCATAACCCCGGTGGTCTGTGCGCACAACCGAGACAGTTCAAGACACGGGTGGTCGGTGCACACACTGGGGACAGTTCAGAACACGGGTGGTCGGTGCACACAGCAGGCACAGTTCAGGACACAGGTGGTCAGTGAACACAACAGGGACAGTTCAGGACACAGGTGGTCGGTGCACACAGCAGGGACAGTTCAGAATACAGGTGGTCGGTGCACACAGCGTGGACAGTTCAGAATACGGGTGGTCGGTGCACACAGCGGGGACAGTTCAGAATACGGGTGGTCGGTGCACACAGCGGGGACAGTTCAGGACACGGGTGGTCGGTGCACACAGCGGGGACAGTTCAGGACACGGGTGGTCGGTGCACACAGTGGGGATAGTTCAGGACACGGGTGGTCAGTGCACACAGCGGGGACAGTTCAGGACACAGGTGGTCAGTGCGCACAACAGGGACAGTTCAGGACACTCACGTTAAGCAGCTTGCAGACCCTCCAGATGGCTCCAGACAGGGACGACCAGCGGTCAGTGTTTCCAGGGACAACCAGCGATCAGCAGACAGCAGCAGCTCCCCGGGCACTCAGCAGCGGACGGCTTCCAGGGACCCGCGGCCACGGACAGTGTGCAGGGTCCCTCAGCAGCAGCTCCCAGGGCACTCGGCAGCAGACAGCCTCCAGGGACATGCAGCCACGGACAACGTGCAGGGTCCCTCAGCAGCAGCTCCCAGGGCACTCAGCAGCAGACAGGGTGCTCAGTAGACAGGCTTACAGACTTGCAGGGTCTGAGCTGTGGGGTCTGACCTTTGAGGAGAAGGCTCATGCAGAGCTGTGGAGACTCCCAACCCTGGGGTATTGCAGAGGGCTACAGTCCTGACCTTTTGGGGGTCTGCAGAGTGCGCAGGGGGGATGGCTGGGGAGGCTCGGTCCCCTTCACCCGAGCCTCCCAGCATCTTTCTGGGAGCAAGATGATTCCAGCAGCATGGACAGGAACAAAGAGAGGAGGGCTGCTTCCTGTGCGAGTCTTTTGAAAACCATGTGGGACGCGGCTAGGTTGCCTCGGCAACGGCCGGCCCAGCCCTGTCCATGGAAGCTACACTATCATCGGAATGTGCAAGGGGGAAGGGAGGGGTGGAGGGATATGGCGAGCGATTGGAGAGGCCCTGGCACTCCGTGACATATATATATATATATATATATATATATATATTGTATATACATACACACAAACACACACACTGTATTTCCAAACGTATTGGGACACCTATACAAATCATTGAATTCAGGTGGACCGACACAGGGAAACACAGACTTCAGGTATAGCGTGTAAACAATATAATTTATTATGGGCAAACAAAACATAAATGCAGTGCAACAAACCAAACCCAAAGCTAACACAAATACGTACAACAAGATGCAACAAACCCAAACCTTAACTGAGATATATACAGTCAGGTCCATAAATATTGGAACATCGACACAATTCTAACATTTTTGGCTCTATACACCACCACAATGGATTTGAAATGAAACAAACAAGATGTGCTTTAACTGCAGACTGTCAGCTTTAATTTGAGGGTATTTACATCCAAATCAGGTGAACGGTGTAGGAATTACAACAGTTTGTATATGTGCCTCCCACTTGTTAAGGGACCAAAAGTAATGGGACAATTGGCTTCTCAGCTGTTCCATGGCCAGGTGTGTGTTATTCCCTCATTATCCCAATTACAATGAGCAGATAAAAGGCCCAGAGTTCATTTCAAGTGTGCTATTTGCATTTGGAATCTGTTGCTGTCAACTCTCAAGATGAGATCTAGAGATGAGCGAAGAAATGAAAAATTCGATTCGACTGATTCGGCGAATTCGTGGACAATATTCGATTCGAGTCGAATAAATTCGCTGTGAATTTAACTTAAAAAAGGGTGTTTCTAGGCTTCAGAGAGACTTAATATTAGTGCAGAACACTGTACCTTTAATTTAAATGCCCTTGGAGTCTGCTGGGGAAGAGAAATAATACTGTCACTCAGTATGACATGCAGATGAGTGCCGTCGATCTTAGAATCACCGCACACTTCACTCATTTGGCCAGTCACGGGGCCAAAACCAGTGTTTGGAGCCACAGTGTGGCGGTGGAGGCAGCAGCAATGGGAGGCCATACAGCAACCTATGACAAAATGGAAACCAGCAGGAGTGTGAGGAGACCTGAAAGTGGCACATGGCAGAGTGGGAGCAATGGGAGGCGGTACAGGGACCCAGGTCACACTGTGGGCCCAGCAGCAGCGTGACCAGGCGGTACGGGGGCCCATGGCAGATTTGGGGCCTGGCAGCACCTATGGGAGGCCTGTAACCTGCCAGCAACCTATGACAAAATGGAAAACCGCAGGAGTGTGAGGAGACCTCAAAGTGGCACATGGCAGAGTGGGAGCAATGGGAGGCGGTACAGGGACCCAGGTCACACTGTGGGACCAGCATCAGCGTCAACAGGCGGTACGGGGGCCCATGGCCGATTTGACCTCGTTCATCCCATAGTCCTGCCGACTCACGAATAGCGTGGCCTCCTCAAAGGGCCTGAGCAAGCGCAGGTGTCACGCATGAGCTGACAATGGCTGACATCTAAGTTACACAGGGAGTACCTTTATCCGCTTTTAACATCAAGAAATCTGTGATGGCCTTTCGCTGTTCG